ATTGTACAGTGGCATTAAACGCCGAAATGTGCACCTCTGCCTACCCCTTCGGGGATAAAAAGGCGTGATGTTATATAAAGTATTCGAAACGAGTACGCGTTCGGCGCTCTGAATGGCCGGCTACAGTGGAGCAAACAAACAGAGTTTGGTTTTGGTGTATTGGAGCCGGCCAATCAGAGCGCTGAACGCGTACTCGTTTAGAATACTTGAAACGTAAATCAAACTCGTACTAAGGCCTCTGATAGGCCGGCACCAATGAAGCAACCAATCAGAGCACCGAACGTTGTCTCATTTCGATTATTTTAAACGTAAAACACACTCGTACTAAGGTCTATGACTATTATTTATTTTGCGCTAGCTTTTACCCGCGGCTTCGCTCGCGTCACAAAAGGATAAAAAGCCTATGTGACACACAGCGCCATCTATACCAATACCTTTGTTTTCCCTCGGGAACATCAAATTTTTTCGGGATGAAAAGTACCCTATTATTTAATTAAGACTTCTAACTTTACGTCTGCAAAAATTCAAAGCAATCGGTTTAGTAGTTACGGCGTGAAAGCGGAACAAACAAACAAACTCACTTTCCAATTTATAATATTAGTAAAGATTTGTTGACATTTCAAAAGTACCAGATTATTGACAAATGCATTGACTTTGAATGTAAAGTTTTTATATTTTTTGGCGTTAAACGCCATGAGTTTTTTATGGAATAGGATAGGAGGCAAACGAGCAGAGCAGAGCAACTATATATAGATAACTATCCCATTCGTAACGTAATAGTATCGAGCGCGTTCGGCGCTCTGGGCTCTGGGGGCCAAGCACGAATAACTATCGCATTCGTTTCGTAACAGTATCGAGCGAGTTAAGCGTTCTGATTCGTTGGTTCACTTGAGCCGGCCAATCAGAGCGCCGAACGCGCTCGATACTATTACGTTACGAATGCGATAGTTATTCGTGCTTAGCACTCTGATTGGCCGGCTCAAGTAAACCAACCAATCAGAACACTTAGCTCGCTCGATACTGTCACCTGACAAACAGATCACCTGACGGTAAGCGATCAGCGCCGCCCATGGATACAATGGTCAAAAATTCAACGCTTAAGACGGTCATTCAGTAATACAGTGAAACTTTGTTAAGTGGGACCTGGATAAGTGAGAAACCTCCATAACTGGGACTCATGCTGAGGTCCCAACACTTTGGCACTGAATTACCTCTGTTAGTGGGACGAGGTAAACCTCTATATCTGGGATTTGTTCTTTCGATTTATCATCATAGTTACCTCTATATCTGAGACAGCGAGTTTTATATGCATAAACCTCTGTAGGTAACTGAGATAACATTGTTTGTTTACTCATGCTTATTCTACCCACAAATTCCACACGTAATTCCAAGTCCACCTCTATTAATCGAACCCTCTGTAAATGAGACAGATATTTATTTATACCTGTATATCTGAGACACTGGGTAAGTGGAATACTACTACTCTATAAGTGAAACGACATTGCAGGTCCCTTGATGTCTCACTTAATCAGGTTTCACTGTATTAACAATTTTTTAGACAGTAAAAAAATTGTGCCGGGCAAGGGGTCTCGGGTTCGATTCCCGGGTCGGGCAAAGTATTACTGGGTTTTTAAAAATCTCAGTAGTAGCACGGAGACTGGAATTGTGCCCGGTTTATGGCAATAGGCTCACCCCCTTTTAAATGAGACTCATAACATAACATAAATAGTGAAAAATGGGTGTTACATTGTACAGTGGCATTAAGTGCCGTAATGTGCACCTCTGCCTACCCCTTCGGGGATAAAAGGCTTGATGTTATCTTAGTTAAAAAAATAGACCCAAATATACCTACTCTTTGCTTTATTTTATTTCTTTAGAAAATGAATCAGTGATACAATTTTTTATTTCGATTGTTAATTAAATTACTTCCCCTATTATAAAAACCGTATTTTATGTCAAGTGACTGCCAAGTGCCCAATGTAGGGGGTAATACGGCATTCAAGATTAGATTCGCTCTCAGATTATTGGGTTTATACAACCAATAAGGGCGCTTGTTGATTCCCGTACGACAACCGGAACGGATATATTTACGTGATCTCAACACGGAGGGAGAATTTAAGTGTGGGAGAGCCATGCTTGCCAGCCTCGAAAATGTCGTGGTGGCCCGGAGGCTTAGAACGCCCGCTTCTCATGCATGGTTCAAAACCTATATATATTTTCGAAGATTATCTAGACACCACTGACAAACGGTGAAGGAAAACATCGTGAGGAAACCTGGACTTCGGATGGAAAGGAAGTCCGGATTAAATAATAGGGTAGTTTTTATCCCGGAAAAAAATTGATATTCCCGAGGGAAAACAAAAGCATTGGTATAGATGGCGCTGTGTGTATTGGTATATTATTATGTCACAGGCTACTTTTATCCTTTTATGACGCGAGCGAAGCCGCGGGTAAAAGCTAGTAAATAATAAATCGATTATTCAAAACAAAGAAGTACTCGTTAAAATATCATGTCATGACACTTATCTACCTCTAGAATTCACGAAGACTAATTATTACTGGGTTTTAAAAAAATCTCAGTAGTAGCACGGAGTCTGGAACTGTGCCCGGTATATGGCAATAGGCTCAACCCCTATTACATGGGACTCGTAACATAAACTGTGAAAAGTGGGTGTTATATTGTACAGTGGCATAAATGCCGTAATGTGCACCTCTGCCTACCCCTTCGGGGATAAAAGGCGTGATGTCATATGTGTTATCTAGAATTAATGAAGACTAATTA